ATGTCTATTGTCTTGTTTTCAAAACAATTTGGTAAATCCCCTTGTTTTCATTGTAATCATAGTATTCATGGCATTTGCGTCATGAAGCAACTCTCTGAGGTTAAATAGGAAACATTCTACTGTACAAAATTTCACAATTTAAAATAATAAGCCAAAGGATGTCTTTTGTCTTGCCATCAAAACAATATGGTAAATCCCCCTTGTTTTCATCGTAATCATCGTGATCATGGCATTTGCGTCATGAAGCACATGATTAAATACACAAAGAGGATGTGGCTATGGAAAATACCTGAGACAATATTTGAAGGACCAAACAATCCTTTATGATATACAAATACAATTTTTTGGACCTTGTATCCATGCAATATGTTTGCTTTTTGAAATGGCACAGTAAAAGTTGTATATATATATATATATATATGTAAATCTACCATTTCAAGGCTATCATATAACATGTACATGTACATGTATACACGTTTAAACTTATGTGCAACTCCCAAGAAGGCATGTTTTTAATCATCTGTCATATTAATCAATAATAATTGAATAAGACGTCTTACGGTAATTTATGAAGACTAAATCTGCAATTATTTTCAACTAATTTCTGTTCACCATTTCTTTAATTCAATATTTTGAGAATGTGAAAATCCACTAGTGACAATTAATATTACCAGTAACTTAAACTTTGTACCCAATTCAAAATGACACAGATTGGATATTTCATATTTAAGGGGAGATATTATATATTTATCTCTTGAAATCAAAACACCTGTGCTGGGTCCTCTCCCAAGGCCGTTTGATGATCCTCTAGCCTCCCTTACTAAACATCCTGTTTCCTCGTCTCCCTGCTGGAGCACTGTTTTTCACCACTCCTCTCATCCCATCCTTACCCCCTGAGTGCCAGGTCATGTACCCTTCTTGATCTGCTATCAATTCTTCAAAGTGTTACCACCTTGCTTTACAGACGGGAGTTGCAATCAAACTGTACACTGAACGATTACTTTATATACATGGTTGACTTTGTTTATCTAATTGCATATTATGTGAATTAACCATCACTCTACTACATGTTTATGTATGTGACTATAATATGCAATGCTTGATACTGACATGTGCCAAGGATGTATAGCCCCCAATTCTAACTCTGGATCACATCATTTCAAAATTTTAATATTGGGCTCGATCATGCATACAAACCAAATTTTTTTTCTCCATACAGTCACACCCCCAAATGAAAGAAAAAATGGTGTAGCCCTTTCCCTTTTACCAGAGCTTTACACTATTTGGGGGGAAGGGGATCTGGATTTAACTTTTTAGAATCTGTATGCATCGAGTCATATGTTGTTTTTGTTTTTTTTTAATTAAGAAATGAAATTTGGCGGTCCGGGCCTATATTTTGAGCACCAGTGTGTCCTGGGTGCCTGTTAGTTTTGATCCCTGGTTCTACCCACCTGTACAGGAGTTACCAAGTAAAAATTCAATATTTTTTCCCCTTGGAAGTGGATACCTTACCACTTCTCTTGTATGCATTAATTCACCAGATGTGTTTGTACTTGACCGACCTACACCCTATGGAAACCTTGAAAGGAACACCTGATCCCTGTTACCCTACTTTCTTTGACATCCTGCCCTCTATCCTTTCACAGTTTACCCCTCCCCATAAACACGTATAAATCTTGCCCCACCAACTTAATACAGAAGTTCTTTGAAGATCCATACAGAAGTTCTTTGAAGATATTCACAGCTTTTATTCCTAAACAGTTTTCATTCCTATAAAACCATCACAATACACAGTGATTTTCAGCTTTTGTACTCTTAAAAGGGGTAGGCCACCCTGGTATTAAGTTGGATTTAATAGAAGCACAACAATGAGAGAAATGGGTCAGTGAAATTTTAAACAAAAAAAAATTAGAAATAAGAAAATTATGAATATTTGAAGGTGTGATCAATCAAACACAAATTGGCAACTCTGTGACATATCTTGCGAGCTCGCTTCCAATTTGCCCTGTACTAAAAAGACTTCAAAACTTTATATTTTCCCTTTTAATCATACATGTACATTCAACCTAGATATAATTATTGCCAATATGTCTTTATACAACCCCTATATGAAACAGGTCTATTCTGTCATCAATAATGAACTAAGGAAATAAAAGTTTATGAAGTATTCTGTACATAGCAAGCAAAGCAACTTTAAAAATTCATAATTTTCTTTTTTTCATAGCATTTTGCTCAAACTCGCATGGATCTGTTTTTCTCACTTTTCTGCTTCGACCTGTTTTAACACCAATTTAATATCAGGATGGACTTCCTGTTTCACAGTTTATCATTTCCTTGAATTCATAAATCATAATATCAGCTCAAATGATAAAAAATTCCCCATTCTTAATTGGCCAACCTTCATGACACAATGACATCAAATTCAATATCAATGCCTTGACCCCTTTTTTTATATTGTTCAACACAACAATACTTCATTTTCTGTGTCAAAAGGAGGCATCAACAATTTACTTAACTATACATAACTACTGCATATCAGGATAGTTTATTTTTCTCCCATTACAATATGTAAAATATGCCCTCAATGAAAATGATTTGCAGCAAACATATCAACAGTTGTACAAGAATATGGCATTAAAAACATTACATACAGACAAAAATACGCCCCCCCCCCCTTCCATCTTTCAAATAGGTATGTAGTTTAAGCATTATGACTTCCAAGTATTGACAGTTTGAATGACAACAGAATAATGTCAAAACTAAAAGTGAAACCCAGCTATAAATCAAGGAATATCTGGTTCTGGGCATTGTTATAACTAGTCAGGAAGTCACCAAAATGAGTGTAAATGATATACTCATTTCCGGTTATAAAGCATTACTGTCAAGTATTAAACAGAATAAGTTACTTCAGCATTAAGTTTTGTTGTTAAACAAAATGTTATTAATTTGTGAAATTGTTTTGCTGAGCTACCTGTACATGAGATGACAGTACAAATTAATATTTCACTTTAATCTAAATGACAAAAATAACAAGTATCTACACAAAAAGTTGTTCCTTATGTGTGCCCTACACAAACCTGTCAGACCTGTCAATAAAATAACCAGTAATATCATTTATAAATTCATAAACTGTGCATTCAAGGCTGGGTCATGAGAGGTATTTAGTGCCTACGCATTCACTATTCAAACCTTGCCATGATTAAAAGTGGGATGAGTACAAATACCCTAGAATTAAGGAAATTAAGACTTTCCAAAGCAATTCTCCTGAAATTGCAATGAAAGTATCCGAGCATTTATAATGCAACACGCTATATAAAATGTTTTACTGATATATTCTGACAATCTCTGAGCAACAGATTGGAACACAAGAAGCCATGTTTTGCTCATGTGGCTCTGTTTTAGTCAGATGCGCCTTGACAGCGGCTATTTTTGCAGCGTAAGTCCCTGTAATCACACCAAAAGGAAATATCCCATTACAGCTTTTAATCCCCCGCCGTTCACTTCGGCAATGCTGCCCTAGCTGTGCTAACCCTGCCCATGCTATCCTGCTGCTGTTGCTGCTGTTGCAGTAGCAGCAACAGGGTAGAATAATGCCCAAATGGGATTATTTAAAGTACAGGATTTCACATTAAATGAAGGTGAGTTAATCACCGCTACTGCAAAATAGCTAAGCGACAGGGCATCATTTTTGTGTCACTATATAAACTTCATACATTTTTGTCATCAAAATTTTTACAGTGAATGGATGCTAAAAATTAAATTAGCTATAATCAATTGATATGAATTCTCTTTTGATCTCCTTATCAATCATATCCTAACGTATACTAGAATGCTACACCTGAGGGGGGAAAAAAACATTATAAAATATATTACATGAAAGTCTAGAAAAGAAAAAATATGTTGCTTCTTTGATAAGTGTCCATCTCCCAAAATATACTAAACAATGTACATAACCAAACTAGCAACAATCTCCTAAAATTAATTTTATTTGGGTTTCATCTCTATGGTGTCTGTACAATTAAATGAAATCGAGCCTCCATACGAAGTCAATCTAGACACGCGATAAGGAGGAACATTCCTAAGACCTTCTGAAGCTCTCATTACAACATGAACCAGTGTCAAATTCAATGACTCATATTGCCAACACCCATGATGTTAATAATGTCTGATTAATCATATTTTGTCTCCCACCCTGTTCTTGTTAGCCCCCCTTCAAGCCTCATGTTGATGATCACACCCCTCCTGGGAGCTTTCTACAGAGCATCTCCTGTTCAAACGTTGTACGCTAATTAGACCTGCTGTCCGATGTGTGAAGATCAAGCACCTGTCTTGTTCATAATGGGACCCAGCAGCGTCAGAAAATTTGATCCAACTTTTCAACAAAAACTAAGCTTGTAACTCTTCAACATGCTTTAGATAGTATACTAATATATTATGAAAACTATTCCCTTTTAATAAAATTTGATCTTGAAGAAAAACATGGATACTAGAGCAGGTTACACATCTAGGATTTTCAAAATTGCTGCAGGGTATATTTAAAATTCTTATTCATAATTTGATTTCTAGATTCAAAAAGCTCCCCATCATCAAGTTTAGCATAAATCTGATTTTTGTTTTTGTTTTTTGGAATTGTTATGTATTGTTTTTTTGTTGCAAATATGAATAGCATCATCCAGCTTTTTATTCCTAATGAAAGAAAATCTTTCTTCAACTTGACTACACTCACAATTACAAATGAAGCAAGATATACATCCTACATACCCGTTGCAAAATTTTGAATTCCATAATTTACCCTAGATCTTAATTATTTTACTTTTATCAAGCTTCACATAAAAATACTAGCTCAAGACATATTTGGTGTAAAAATGTAAGAATGTTCTACTTAGGGATATTTCCGTTTTACCCAAATCCAACGCTATAGATGTCTTAGGGTGGATTCTTACTCCACTAATGCGAACGACTCACAAATGATTAAAAACATAAAAGCAAGCTTTTCTCACCTCATCATGAGACTGAAGATCCTGAAAAATCTCTCGATTCACCGATGCCTCTGACATAACACACCACTCATCCAGCGATCCACCGCTTGTTGCTGTATTTATCCTTTCCCTACTTGGGCCAGAGGAAGCATCATCCTCATCATCATCATCGTTCATCACATTGCCCCCTTTCTTCTGTCTCCCATCACCTTCCTCCTTAGAATGTTCCTCCAGGGATGGTATCTTATCTCTCTCTGGGGCAGCATCCTGTATGGTGCACCCCTCTGATCCCGCATCACACCGCACTACTGCACGAGCTAGCTCCTCGTCCATGGCTGGTATAGTTCCTAACATTTAGACAGGGCGATGACGTCTACAGGAAGAGAGAGAGAGAACAATTAGTCAATAGACTTATGACTACTTTGGTCACTATGACCATTATGAAAGAGACTAATTGAAACCCTCTACATATTAAAGTAACATTTGTACATTCCTAATAGAAAAATAATCTGCAACCCCAATGAGAAAAAAAACAGATCAAACTATCAAAGATAAAAGCGAAGTAAAGTCACCTTCGTTGCAAGTCTAACAATTTCTTTTGAACAAGTAGATATCACAAAGTGGAAAACTATGTCTTTCTTTTATTCAAGAGACAGATTAAAGATAAAAGCGAAGTAAAGTCGTCTTGGTTGCAAGTAACAATTTCTTTTGAACAAGTAGATATCACAAAGTGGAAAACAATGTCTTTCATTTATTCAAGAGACAACATTAATAGCCAGCTTAGGAAAAGCAATATAATCCTGCTACAGATCAAAAGATGGTCAGCTGAAGAGTAAAAATAAAATCAATCACAAACGATTTTAAGAGGTCCAAATGAAATCAGATATTACTTCATCTCACAAATTGCCAAATGAATGTTCACCCTGGATCATGTCATTAAGCCTAGGATGTATTCCACTTTCAAACCAGAAGACAGGGCAGAAAAGAAAAAAAAATCTTGACAGATATATCCTCAGGAGACCAAGAGACAAGATAAGGCACAAATGAATTACGAAGACTGAAATGAGTTTATCACCACCTTGTAAAGAGCAGGGAGGAACTCCACATTAAGAATCCACAGAACCAGATGGCTCAAGAAACGGGTTGTAAAAGTCAGCGCTACCGACGTCAAGGGGGGCCCTCTTACTTAGTCTCGCCCACCACTCTCCTTGCCTTGCTCCAGCTCTTCAGTCTAACTCAGCATGCATAGGGGCAAACGTGAATGCACCGCTACACAGCCAGACACTGCGTATAAGCACTGATGGTGCAGAAAGTGTGCTGATACTGCTGCTAAGTTTGATCGAGCCTTGGCTGAATATTCCCCCACCACCTGTACACCTGAATGAGTCATACGATTCACCCCTGCTTAGCCTGCTACGCGCTTCTGCTGGCTCAAAACCTGTTTCCCGTCAAGTTCTTTGCATAGAGCGTTTCCATGAGCTCTGATGGCAAGCCCGCCAAAAGAGGGCCTCATCATGACAATCAAGTTGAACTCAACTTACTCTCATAACTTTTGAACAGGGTACAAATTTGACACTGCTTCATATATTACATTTATACATTAAGTCAAGAACCATCTAGAGTCTAGAGGAATAGGTACATGATAAATGTTATAGGATGAATCAAGAACCAAATTTTATAATTTACAGTGTTTAATGAACCATATTATTATATACATTTTCTTTCAAAATTCTTTTCAGGCTGCAGCAAAAATTTCATTTTTTTCCCCTGGATCACAATGACTACATGTACAGGTATTTCACAATTTCATTATTCTTTGAACTATTCCTTTCTTACATTTTTTACGCAAAACCAAAACCATGCACAAGCCAACAAATATTTTTGCAAGGTGAACAAGTATTGAAGTATATGAATCCATGAAAAATCCCCCACCAAAAATTATTCTTAGACAAGTTGGACATAGAGAACCGCTCCTTTATGCAACAGTACAACAATGTCATGTCATAAAGCCTCGATCCAGACGACAAGCGTCTAGCTACTCAATATGTGTCAGACTGTCAACCCTAATCTATAGACATAAAAAAATGAACACTTCCTCCAGTATTATGGTAAACTACGGTAAACAGACTTTCAAACTCCTGTATACAATGTAGTATTACTAGCAGGGCTCAAATTAATTTTTTGTCCACGGGGGCTCTTCCCCCGAAAAAAGAGCCCCCGTGAGCCTTCTCACGGGGGCTCTTTTATTACTGACGGGGGCTCTTTTTTATACAAATATCCATTTAATTGGTACCTATGATACTCCTCAATTATTTGCTATTTAATCATTATCATTTCAATCAGCATTTTCCCTCTTACAAATTTACAAGCAACATAGCTGTTACTGGCCTGTGTATATAATATATACGCATACAACACTGATCTTTATGATGTCTTTAACGTGACATATCTTCTTCTCCCCTTGCAAACGAAAAAGAAAACATGGTCATTAACAGGGATTAAGCGACAAATAATGATTGTGATTCAAATTGATGCGAATATTTGTTTGAATAAGCACTGCTATTCACCCGAATCTTCTTTGTAAAAACAACTTTTACAAATCTCAGCCATGCTTACTGAGTTGAGACGTTCCATTCAATTTACAGTGGCAGAATTGCATGGCTGAGATTTGTAAAAGTCGTTTTTACCAAGAAGATTCTGGTGAAAAGCATTGCTTATTCAAAAAAAATCCTTGCATCAATTTGAATCACAATGATTATTTGTCACATGGTGCTTTTATTAAATAACCTTATTTTCTGTCTGTGTGGGAGGTACACAAAATGCCTCATTGATCTTTTGGCCGAATGTGGGTCAAATTTGTTCATATGTTATCACCAATTCCACCCACTCCAGCAAAGCATAGAGAGTCAATGCTATTTTAGATGCGTATTGATTCCACCTTGGCCTAGTCTGACATTTAACTGTTAGAGGCCTATTGCCATTGCAGTGGTCGGAACTCGGAAGCAGACGACTCCAACTCCAGCTCCAAAAGAGAGAAAACCTGCCACTGAATTAGGGGAAAAGGTCAACAAAAGAAAAATGAAGTTACCAGATATTGTTCTTATTTACCTGTTTCCCATTTCCTTCGTACGTCCTTCACATGTAACTTGTTAGAAGTTGACGGTAGAACTAGAGTAGTCGCGAGTAGGCCTACTAATATTAGAACACACTGCCCCAAAACAGCTCAGAGCAAAAGATTACTTTTTTCATGCATGTGATGTGACAACTTGTTTACTTTTATGGCGCCATCTCGTGTTCAATATTAGTGAAGCTTGTGCGTTGTCATATCAACTTGTGCCTGAGCAGACACGATTTTGATCAATAAATCTGTAAGTTAACTAATTGATTGTTGAAGAATAAAGAAATCTATGTCAATTCTGATAGAATTATAAATATTGTACCGTTTCTACTAATATGCATTGCATGTGATATGGAATGTTAAAAAGTTGGATATTGTACTAAGTCTATCGTTGTGTCCGTTAATGTTATTTGATGTCGCTGAACAACGAAAAGACCGCTGTCACCACCACATGTGAGACATGCGACCGCCGAACTTCGGGCAGTGACTGGGATGTATGACTGGTAATGATGAAGGGGGGTAGGGGTGTCTGGCCAAAATAAAGCTGTCCATTTCCCCTGTGGATTTAAAGAAAACATGCATCAAGTAGCACTAAACAACATGAATATTTGTAATTTATATACCAAATATGAGGAAAATTATAGATTTGAAGTGTAGACTACAGGAAGATTATCAAATTGCATCATCCTGATCATGCATGATGATCATGCAATGCAGGATGCATTTAAATGTAGTCTTAACTTTATCTTCTTCCTGAGTGATGAGTGACTGCAAACAACTGATTATTATGTCGCTTTTAAAGAAGGTCTGTCACATTGCAGTAATTTATTTTCTTTTTGAATTATGTGACTTATCTTGTGTGGAGGGTGATTAAATAAAACAAATGATATGATATTGAAAAAAGTTAATAAATAAAGTCAAAGATGTTGCTGGTTGAGCTATTAATCCTGTCTTGAGGCCCTTGACACAAAGTTGCCAATAGTATTGGCCTTGATGATGTCCTGGGGGAGTTCATTCCAGGAAGGTTTTGATACTATAGGTTCAACAGTGGGGGGCAAAGTTGTTGGTTGCGACTTTCTGGCACAAGGAATTACAGTCTAGAGTAGATCTAGACTAACTTCTAATTTTGATCAAGATCTAGAGGTGCACTGTTTGAAATCAACCATCCAGGTAAATCAGATAAATAAACAATGTATATGTAATTGAGAAAACATGCAAACAGATTTGCCTTTTGTGTATAAGATTAGAACCATAACAAATCATTTTTCCGCTCATCAGGAATAACAGCATGAAACTTCAATGAAAAAAGAAAAAACACATCAAGATGTCAGCCACAGAGCAAGAAGGGAAGCCGTCCAACGGCAGTGAAACAACAGAAGGGGAGAGTGAGAAACAACCAGATGGCTCCATTCCATCTCTAGAAGGAGAGAGAGAAAGCCTTCAAGCGGAGGAAGAAAGTTTGAAGTCAGACTCTCAAGAAAGGAGTGGTTCCACCGCTGGAAAGTCAGAAACTAGTGGTCAAGAAGTGGAGAGCGTAAAGGAAGATGGTGCTGATGGAGGGAAGGAAGGATCAGATGAGCAGGCTGGATCTCAGGTTTGAAACAGTCTTGTTGTTTTCTACTGATGAGAGTTGTATGCATTGAAAAATATAAATTGTTCTTTGAAATGTAAAAGATAATTGTAAAAGATTCCTTCATTTATTTCACATGAAGTAGATGTGTCCACTATTAGCAAGGTGTCACAAATCAAACAAAATTTATATATACCGGTAATATATCAATTTATATTGCAAACAAAGTATTTTGATTGAAATCTAGGCTACTGGAATGATCCATATTAGTTTGTTTTTATCAGATCTACAGATTTGCAGCCATAAGTACACATGTACATGTAGTGTTACAGTTCAATTATTTGCATAATCCCCTCCCCCTCCTTCAGATAAGTACAGAAACATCAGAAGAAACAGAAACGGCCGACTCTTTCAGCTCTGCTGAGATTCATGCTTCAAGAAGAGGACGGTCCAGGAAGAAGAAAGATGAACCTGTTATACCGGAAGGAGAACATACTGTTACACTCTCAGTTGTGATTGCTAAGGCCATACCAACAGGTAAATCGGTACAAATTTATGAATCGGATCAAGTCTGTCATTAAAGGGGGTTAAATGCAAAATTTCCTCACAATACATGTAAGTATATATCGAGGGGTTTGAACCATAAGGTTCCTTGCAGCTCTTAGAGATGACTATATCCTTCATCTGCACAAGGTTGCAGGTGAGGGTCTATGAGCATTGAAGGCTGTTTGACTTCCATTTAGATCTGTCATTGTAACAGACCAATGTTAATGTTGAATTTAGCTCATTTGCAGATTCCTAATAATGTCAAATCAAATATTTCATATTCTGACCACGTTAAACTTTTTATTGTCCTGATTATAGCTGCATTAGATTTTATATTTAAAAAAAAAGTTGTTTCAAACTCTTATTCACTCATTTTCAATGTATCGGACCTTGTTAATTGTAAGAGAGAAAGTTAAAAAATCCAACATCATGTCATTTTCATCTATATTTTATTCAACAGTGGATGACCCAGACATGCCAAAGTTGGAGGATGTGATGAAGAAGAAGAAGCAGAGGATCGTGGAGGCGCCCAAGGCACAGGGCTACTACCACTGCCAATACTACCTGCTTCCCGATGATGCCGAGCCCATCAGAACGGATGTGGTGACGTTTGGTATGGCAGCTAAGATCTACACAGAGCATGATTCGAAGGTGCTAAAGACGTGGCAGGAGGGAGATCTGACATGGGTTGCTTGGTCACATAGGTAACATGTTTGGAATCATTGTTTTGTTGAGTTTTTAAATTTGAGGCTTCATCTGGTGGGTGTTTCACAAACCTGTCATCAGTGACAAATGACAGTTTTTGGTTATAAGCTAGTGAAATCCTTGCTTCTGATTTGTTATCAGCAGATTTGTCACAGATTTTTGTCACTTGTCATTGAAAAAAGACTTGGTGAAACACCCCCTAGTGTATAATTTTAGATGAAACAGATTGAAATTAGCACTGACATATTCTATTCTGGGGTTGACAAATGATATGTCCTATGACTTTGTAATGGTGTGCTTGATTTTCATACACTTGGTATCAAAAGATGCACAAGATGTGAAT